TATATATATATATATGTATATGTATCGGACCAAGGTCGCAAACCACAGAATCCTTCGAGCTCTGCAGCCCAAAAGCTCGAACAGCCAGGCCAGGCTTGGTTTAGGGTTGAGGATTTAGGAAGCGACTTCAATCACTGATGTTTTCTAAGGCCGCAACGTGCAGATAGCTCTGTGGCCTCGGGATGTGGGTATTCTTAGAAGGTTTTATGATTCTTCTATACATGAGGGGTTCTGGAACGGGTTCTATTTGGACTTCCACATACGAGGAGCCCGAGAAAGAGTTCTTTCAAGAGGCAGGGGTTCTGCAAGGTATTGAATTGAAGGGTTGTCAGCCGGGTCCCCTGCTGTAGGACACGGTTCAGGGTTCTGAAGCAAGAGTGCAGTGGAACAAAGCTGCGACTTCGCCCCCGCTCGCTTGGAGCCTTTGCTGAAAATGAAGTGCAGTCAAGCTCCAAGAGCAAAGCCTTCCCAAACTAACAGCCAGGAAAGTAAGACAGCTTTGGGTAGGGAACCAAAGCTTTTGGATGCACACTCGTGAAATACACATGGGGCCCTGCGTGTTGGAGGCACGATGTGTGCACAGCAAGAGTGCTGCAGGGGTAGACAGGCTTCTCGATTTCAAGTCGAGGCCGTGACCCGATTACTACCAAAATGATCATTCGCTTTTCCTGTCCAGCTGTTTGCTTGTCGTGGCTTAGGGTTCAGTGTGTAGGTTTCTAAAGCGTGAAAACTACTTCTGTCCTGCATTACCTTACGTTCAAAGGGAAAACCTGATGCAGAAGGCGAGGGCACGTGTTCGATTCGGCATCCTCGTCCCATGCGTCGAGTGAGGACATCCTCGAAACATGTCAAGAGCTGAGACAGCGACAGCAGCGTGTTGCTGAACTGGGTGAGCAAGACAGACGCCCACACAACGACCTGGGCTCAGGAAGGGAAAGGCTGGGACTGTCCCATCCTTTTGGTTCCTGTTGCAACCCTCCCATCTTGCTCCCCACACCTGTGCAAGACCCGTGTCACCAGTCAACTGCTGCAACTTATGCGTACTCCAACTTTTCCATAGAGCGAGCGTTCGACCAAGCTGACAGACTTGCACGGAACGGCAGAGAAAGGGCTTGGGGATCTCAGGTCTGGGGCCTTGGGAAGGTAAAGATGTCCACCTCAGTGATTGAACTTTGGAAGTGCTTTGAGCCTTGAATCTCCAAATCCTACGACCCACGACTAACGCGTCGAGAGGACGAGACTGACATCATGAAACCCTGTAGCAATCTGCCAAGCTTGATTGCGGGAGCCAGGCCTGTTTAGCAATACAAGCTGTTCCTGATACTCTGCTGCTACATGCTGATGTCTGTTCAAAGATCAAGCAATCGAAATGCGGCATTGGTAAATGCATGGAAGACGGCGATTCAAGACGAAGACTCTGTCACTCGTAAACCTAGGAGTATTGCCTGCATGGACGAATCGCATTGATATTCAGTGCAGACTTTTCACTGAAATCAGCATGAATTTTCCAGGCTACCTAGGACCATTGCTATTCAGTCTTATCATCAGCAGAGACGACTTGTGCTTTGCTTTGGGTCCAGGAGTGCGGGGATGCACCATCCCAAGAAAACCTAAGGGTTATGATTTCTGTCCGCGACGGACTACCAAGATCATAGTTGATAGCATCATTATAGCTCTTGCTGTGCTATTGGCGGCGTTCGTGGAAACATATGCTGTGTCGCGGCATGTTGGCCCCTCGCCTTACTTGATGAACTATAGTTCTGTCGGAACCATCACGATGCGGTATCATCCCTTCAAACACTCGTTTACGGCTTAGGGCTTTCATTCGGAAACTCTGAACCATCAGCCCTGAAGACAGTAGGAGCACACTGAACATACTGGGAGGCGCAACTCACCAGCCGACAGAATCCGGAAGATAAGAAAACAGGGGTCCAGGCTGAGTGCGGGCAAGCAGTTGCGAACTGCTATAACTATTATAAGTGGTGCAGACAGCCTGACCCCGAAAGGGCAAAGACTGAACTCCCTACATATGACTGATTGCGAATAGCCAAGAATACTGCGTCGTGAACCCTGAAGCATAAGCGCAACTCCGGCAGGGAAAGCGGCCCTCTCCAGCAAGTAGAAGACCGAGCACGGTGGGATCGAGTAGAAGTTGCGCAGCCTTCCCTTCGTATCCTTCCAGAATGTCCTGCAGCCAGCCATGGTTGCTGTTCTCTTTCCACAACATATAGTCACACTAGTTTCATTCAGGAACCACGTGGGCTGTTTTCGTATAGCGACATGTAGATGGATCTCGTTCTGTGCGGTCTAGTGTATGACAGAAATCGAGCCAGACATCACGACATAGCACCGCATGATTTCATGCTGTCTCTGCCTTTACGCGCAAATTGTGCTTGTACAATTTCAAGTTGTGGTGAACTAACGTGCCTGAGAAGTCAGAGTCTCGAGATACCTCTTCTGTGCCTTTTGGGTATTCCAAGCCGGGGAAGTTGCGTTCGCGCCTCTACGGGGAAGTGTTTAGGCCTTTGTCGGCTCCTTCCCTGATGACATCGAGTTCCTCCTGGGGCGAGTTTGGGGCTTCGCATTGATCCAGTGCAATTGTGAAGCTCATAGTGTGAATTCTCTGGCTCTAAGGAGCCTTCGTCTTAACCGAAACATTCGGCTCGGTGTGGAACTTTCATCTCCCTGTGCCCGACACCTGTGGCCTCCTGCCCTTCAACATTGAAGCACCTTGCGCTTGCTCGTAGCTACAGCTATCAATACCACCGCCGGTCTTCATGTTACAATGGTTGGTGGGGCTACGAACATTAGGTTTTGAAGCTCGTCGTTGCTTCCATCTTCTAGCTAATGCGGCATCATTGCATCCGAAGGGCCAGAGCTGCTGCATGACCTCGATGGGTGGGTGTTCGTGCAGTCAGCAGAAACATCTATGTCCATAACACAAATACCACATGATGCAGCATGTCTAGCATAAGGCAATATTACAATCTTTGGGATTACATGGCAGTGGGTTCAGTGCCAATGATCAGGCTCGCATCAAGGCAGTGCTGTTCTCAGTTCTGCTGTACGCCTCTTAGATGACTGATGATGAAGAAGCACATCCCCAAACTTCTACATCAACAGCTCTGGTTCCTGCGACCTGCGACCAAGGCCAGGGCTGCAACCCGAAACCTGAACCCCAAGTTGTTCTATGCATTGCCCCCTGACTCTTGAACTGTCCCAGCTCCAGAGTTTCGGAAAACAGTGCACCAGGCTCCGCTGCAGCAAACAAGCCTAAACACTTCGGTTAAGCCTCCTCGTGAAGCTTTTCCAGTGTCTTCAGCCCTAGGTTTTGTCAGCCTGCCACGCTCCTTTAAGGAGCAGCAAGCCCTGAAGTGCTCATCCGTTCATCTCATCAAGCCTAGAGAAACTCAACCCCTCATTTTCAAGAAGCCGAAAACCCCAACATTGCCTACAGCCCCAAAACCGAGTCAATCCATCATGACCTCAGAAGAACTGCCGGTGTGCGCCCTACTATGACTCATCTCCAAGGCCTTGAGATCGGCCAGGAAGAAATCGAAGGCCCGGATCTTGCCGTCCTCGATCGTGAAAGACACGAGATGCCCAAAGCCCTGAACCCCAAAGTCCTGCATTCTCCGAGCCCTAAAGTCCATTGAGAACAACAGCTCGGCAAACGGCACAAGTCACTGTGGGCTTAGCTAAAGATCTGTTTTGGGGAAGGGGTGTTCCGATTATCTGCCCGAGACACTTGTGCTGGTTAGGGGTCCTGAGCCCTTGAATCCGTGCCAGTTCGCGACGCCGAGCATATTTAATGTAGGGGCCTTGATAATTAGAATAGGGTTTTGGGCTCCTTTATAGTATAAGTATAATAAGAAACCCTAAGGAATAATATTGCTACCAATTATTTAGGCTTCAATAGTATTGAAACGAGGGAAGAGGGAAGCATCCAAGAAGCAACAAATCAATGTGTAGCACATCGACCCACGAATCATTCCATGAATCGGTGGCCAGCAATACTTTCACTGACCGTGCGCGCACAGTCAATCGAATCAATCGAACCGGGAAAGCTGTCAGATTGGGAGAAACATGGCTTCGTTTTTTTACCACCCGCCCAGCTGACAAAGATTTTGTTGTTCTGGGAGGGTTTGGCAGGGTTTTTATCATGGGTTTTCGGGAAGGCTTTTCAGATTTTGTGCAGGTTTGAAAGGGGAGCCTCCGTCTTCTTCGCGAAACCTGCCACGATCGTGTTGGCAAGCAGGAACACTGGATTCGATGCCTGCCGGGGAGTTCTAAACCTAGCCTACACTAGCTGCATTCATGTATGCAAACACGTAGGCAGTAACTATGCTGTCCTCTTCGGTGCCACATCATCGGAGTCTACCGCGAAAGTGCTTTCGTTGTCATGGCAGCTTAATCTACCTTCCCTTTTTGCAGCAGGTTTTCCACTTCGCCCGGAGTTGGAGCAAGCAGCCCAATCTACCTTCCCTAAACCCTACACCTTGGCCGCCTTGTCCCCAAACGGTATAACAAGAACACGGCTTGATAAACCTCCCTTCCCAGGATGACGAAAGGCTTCGTCGGTCAGACCGGGAGCTGTAGCCCAAAGTGAACGTAAACGTGGCAGGCCACCACCACCACCACCACTGTTCCTACTCTACTACTACTACTACTACTACTACTACTATTACTACTACTACTACTACTCCTACTGCGACGCCTGCGGCTGCGACTGCGACGCAGGCCTTTCTCACCATGCTCGGGTTGTTGTCTGATTTTGCTCTGTGCTGGTGCAGTGCTTGCGGTGAGTATGCTGGCCTATGATTGGTGCAGAGACTCTTGCTGATCCCCTGCCGTATTGGCTTTATCTGGAGCTCAAGACCTGCATCAAGCGCCGCACCTTAAACCTGAACCACAACGCCCCATGCAAACAAACCCTATGCCCAGCAACCGCTGAATAGACCTTAAACACCAGCCTACCAGCGACTCTGTATAACCTCTAGTGCTGTCCCCCTGTCGCCAATCTAAAGACAAGTTAAATTTCCCGAAACCAAACCCACACCGCGTCCCCGCCGACCCCCAAAGCACGCCCCCACCACGCCCGCTCCCCCGAAACCAAACATACCTACTTCTCAAAGCACGGGGGTCGAGCTGACCTGCTTGTCCATTTGCGCGAGCTTTAAGAGCTGCATTTCCAGCTTCCTCCGAGACTCGCAAAATCGTATTCTCAGCCGAACGATTCAGATTCTTAGGCTTGGGCATGCCAAGGAGACCAAGCTGGGGGGTACTTCTCGTTTCGCTCGACAGCTATGGGGTGTGGACATGATCCCCATCCTCATGTCAGCTTCTACACGCAAACGCAGCCGAGTGTCCTCACAAGCGCAACACACATCCCCAGATACTGAACGAAGGTCCTGCGATTGCTCCCCGTGAACGGCAGCAGTGAAAGCACAGACACGACCTTCCGCAACAAGCTTCGGTGTTCGGGGGAGTAGGAGATTGTAAGGTTAATGCAAATCCTTTGGCTGCTAGAAAGCCCTCAACCCATAAACTCGACACCAGAAAGGTGCAGGGTTCAAGTTGGTACTGCATGATCTTGACGCTGAAGGACAAGGTCCGCACAAAAGGACCTTTTAATGTCGGCATCACCGGCCAAGCATTCAAGTTCATGAGGGTCAGTGATGTCCCTCACCACATACTCCTGCATGCATGCATGCTGTACACGATCACAATGTTTAAGCGCCGGCAAAACCGGCATATACGAACTGATATCATAGCAGTTGGAGGCCTGGGTTCTGGGGTTTTTGTGTGTTGCACAAGGAGCTTTATCTTATGCAGAAGCGCTGAATGCCTTTACCGCCGGTTAAAAGGCTGTCGTGCCTGCAACTGGCATATGTCTGCAAGAGCCTGTCATTTCAAGCTCCCCACAGTTTTGATCCAGATCCGGGGACAGGTCCAGCTCCACCGTTCGAAGTCTCTTCATCCCAACTCTCAGATAGCCATACCACGGGCAGCCCCGTCCCGTTCCTTCTGTCCTGGCTACCGCCCTGATGCTAAACGGGATGCGACATGTTACATGAAGTCGCAAGGCGAACCCATAAAAACAAAATAACAAGAACATGATTTCACAGACAAGGAGTGCTCGCCCACCGGTGGCCACAAGGAACTATGGGAAAGAACGAAACCGAGATGAAGCATCTACACTACACTGTGTGTTTCTGTGTTCCTCCAGTCAACTCACCTAGCTTGCAGCCAAATCTTGTTTTGCCATCGGCACGCCAAGTGTGGCAAAGGCTGGCTGTCAGCAATTGTAGTGAACGAGAAGGTTTACTGCGTGCGCACGACGTTGGGTGTGTCGGTGGGTGGTGCCCCCAACGGCGGTCTGACTAAGTATCTGCTCAAAAACTCGAGGCATCCAATGCATACTTTAGGGTTTAGGGTTCTGACTGAGACCCTCAAAGCCTAGAAGCCCTCAGGACTCACAGGAGTCCAGACCTCGTGCAGGTCAGGAGGTCGTCTCCGTGCCTCGATCGCCTTCAGCTGGTTCCTGGCCGAGAAACTTCTACCCGGACCCAAGCCAAGGACCCTCAACTCTGAACTCACCTCAACTCCAGAACCCCCTTACCACTGTACCCACATGCCAGGAACCGAAGCGCAGACTTTGCTGAGGACTCGTGTCACACAACTTCAACTACTCACACCTCCCCTGCAGCCTAAAGCCTAGACACAGAACGGTAGAAGGACTGCCTGTTTCAGGACTGGGTATTTAGCAGCGCGCACACTTGAGGTGAAGAGGCACAAAAGTGCGAAGGTAGTCGTTCATTATTTCGGAGGCCCGAAGACAAGGTACTGCACGCCGACTCTACAAACTGAGTCTAAGCCCAAAGCCTCCCGTCATCAAAGACCAAGCTGTTTCGGCTTTGGGGCTTCAAGGTTCGTCTGCGGATGCCTCCTGTACTTGGCAACATGCCTTAGCAGGCCATGGCTAAACTGCAATGGTACAGCTCATAGTAGTGGCAGTAGCAGCATCAGTAGCAGTAGCAGTTTTCGGCACCCGCAGTAGCAGTGGTAGTAGTAGATTAATTAATAGGAGTAGTAGTAGTAGTAGTAGTAGTAGTAGTAGTAGTTGTAGTAGTAAGTAGTA